CTTCCGCATCTCCAGCTCGAAAATCGCAACTGTGTAGCACAAGTCTAGTGAGCGAAGTACACTTCCGCATCTCCAGCTCGAAAATCGCAACTTTGTAGTACAAGTCTAGTACGAGAAGTACACTTCCGCATCTCCAGCTCGAACATCGCAACTTTGTCGCGCAAGTCTAGTACGCGAAGTACACTTCCGCAGCTCCAGCTCGAAAATCGCAACTCCTCAGTACAAGTGTCGTATTTACGAAGCACACCTTGGCAGCTCCAGCTCGAAAGTGGCGACTTGCCTTCTCGTTTTACGGTGGCCACGCAAGGGTCCCACCCCAGCTAAGTTGCAACTGCAGGGGTTATTATAGAGCCGTGTATTAGCTAAGGGTTATCGGTTTTGGGGGAGACCTTATCGTTTTCCATGGTTTTGGCATGTGTTATGCAAAAACGCACCCCGCCTTGATAAAGTGGTCTTCGTGTGTTTTGTCCGTGGCTCATATATATATATATATACACTGAATGAACAAATAATGAATGACACACACACAATAAATGTATAAATGACATTTACAACGTAAATCAATAAATACATATTGATTGTATTTTTTTAAAAAAAAACATACATAATAATTCAATACATAAATTAAACAAACAAACAAATAATCAACAAACACAAATTAATATCCAAAATCATAAACGACAATAAGGTGTGTATGAAACAAAAGAGAACAAACAAAAAACATCAGCAACCTCCAATAACTGCTTTGTCCCATGTCCAGCATTCCCATTACTGTCCAAAAAACAGTGTTTGGGGAGGGGGGGGGGAAATAAATACATACATAGAGGTGTGTTTTAACGCAACGGGACCCAAATTTGTGTCTCTAGCTTACCTTCGAATGGGTGCCTCAGAAACAACAAGAAACACATGCATGTGTACATGTCTATGTGTTTTTATTTATCTTTTTTTGTTTATATGTATGCATTGTAGAACATAAAGTATGGGTGTGTGTGTTTTTTGGAGGTACTTTTGAGGGTAATCCTTTTTGTGGCTTTAGAGGGACACCAAAAGGACCGACCACCCAATTCTAGGGTTCAACCGAACAAAAAAACATCCGAGCCCAGGCGCGCGTCTCGCGGAAATCGCTTGGTCCGCGGTGGTTACGAAATGAGTGACCTGGAGCCCCAAAGAACTGATTTCTTTTTTTTGCCTACCTGGAGTCTCCACGACCCTTAAAAAATGGGGGTTATTACCTAAAATAAAGGGGGTCATGGACCCATTTTTAGAGGGTTACGGAGAGTCTAGGTACCACTTTTTTCCAAAGAATGGCATCCCATGGTTTCAAAACGGTGCAAGTTGGTTTTTGTCCATCCACAGCACCTCTGGGAGGGCACAGTATCCTGGATGCTACGTGAAAAGACTTCTATCGGCATCGAAGCTCTAATTGGGGAATACACAGGATCAGCATTTGATCCGGGTACAAGATCGGGGGCACAACCGCCAAATGCAATGGAGTCTCTTATATTGTTACATGTATATCTGGACACCTGAGAAACTGTCCTTCCTCTGCAAAAAGACGTGTTGTTGCAGACAAACAACTTTAACAGCTAATGCGGTTCTCACTGCGTTGGTCATTGCTTGGATCCGGTAGTTTGACCACGCGCGGCCCAGAAACCTTCTCCCAGCAGCTTGCGGGCGGGGACCCGCGCTGCCGTATGGGGAGCTGCACGGATCCTGGCGCACACCCAAAGCGAAGAAGATCGACGGGCGTGTTTTTTAAAACTATTTTTGGGTTTTTCCGCCCCCCCCTCCAACCAAAACATAGGTGGGTCCCTTTAACTCCACCAGAAGGGGTACCCTCAAAAAAAACAACTAGCCACCCAGATGGGAGGACAACCGCCAGGGAAGGCTAGAAAGGATTCTGATCCAAGGTTTCAAAGAACTTTGGCGTCAAGTCGCAACCGCCACTAGCACTGGCCTGCCAAATTGGCCATGCTCCGTGGTTGCGAACAATCATTTGCAACCCACCTGGAGATCGACCAAAAGGTCCTGTACATGGGGTGACCATTAGAGAAACCACCAGCAAAGATGACTTTCACCACGAAATGGGACAAGTTCATGGTCATTTTGGGGCCCTAATTGGAATATTGATCCAGGCGCGTTTCGCCAATGCCAATATAGGTATCCCTTCGCCGTTTGCCTAGGTTTTTAGGGGAATGGATCTGGGAAAGCTTTGTCAGTCGCCAGGAATGGACTGAGCCAGGGTCAGTCATCGAGCTGTGTATCCAATCTGTGTGTCATTTCTGATGAGGGTACTTCCATTTTTGTGGCTTTAAAGGGACAAAATGGAGACCCACCATTTTTGGTCCGATTCCGAAAAATCAAAAGACAAGCCTATATGGCTGTGGTTGTCAAAACCGTTTTGGGATCCCATTTTGGTTGGTAGGTGAATTCACCACCCATTTTAGGCTTCCTATTTTAGTGGTTGGAAGATCTTGAGGTCGGGCTGCTCCAGGATCTTGCTGTTGTATTTGCTGCAGACGGAGGCAAATTCCTCTGAGAGTTCCTGCGACAGTGAGTAGATCTGCGACCATGCTGCGTCGTGTTCTCCTGCATGTGCAGCGGCATGCATCTTTGAGGAGATTGTCTGCAGCCTCTCATCGTCAAGGCCAAGTGCCCAAGTGAAGAATTTGTCTGCCCAGTCCGGAACCTTCATCGTGTGCGTGGGGTGACTCCTGACATGCGCGATGGCGGCGCTCTTGCGGACAATCTTTTTAGCTTGGGCTGAGCGGTGGTTGATGCCTTTGCGGCAAGGTCTGCCGGTGGTGCCTTTGCAGCCGAATTGGATGAGCTCTTGGTAGGTGGAGGAAGTGGTTGCCAGGGAGGGTCATCCAGCCCCAAAACGCAGCCGGACACCCCAAAAATAGCAGTATATGGCCGGATTGGAATTTCGCAGCCGGATGCCTCAAGACACGCTTTGACACGCCTGAGCATGCCTGCGCAGCGGTGCTACCGGCGCCCCTGGTCCCGCAAAACGCGCCGCAAGCAGTCCCAATCAATGCGCACTTTGCACGCAGTTGGCAAGTCAATTGCGCCAAAGGATGGCAAGCCACACCTTATAGCGAGGTGAGCTTCGGCCACCACGCTGCCACCACTCTGAAAAAAGGGAAAGCAACAACCATACAGCCAAACAAAGAAAAACACCGCAAGCAACCGCACAGACACAACCACAAAAGAGCGAGGCGAAGAACACACACAACCAACAACACATTTTAAACCATTAAACAAGCGTGCCAGGGGTAGGGGTGATGCGCTTCGCTTGCTTAGCCCTTCAATCAAGTTTAAAAACCGCTTTTGAAAGGCATTTCGCCTAATGGCTTCCCCTCAAACAAAGTCTTTTGGCTCAAGCCCTCTCACTAAGCTAAGGGTTATAGGTGAGGCTTTTCCGGCTTACGGTTGTGGAGACAATGGCGATGGAAGTGAGCTACTTGTTTGGTCACGCAGTCCGGAAACTAACTTGCGACCTTGCTTGTCCGCGGGACAGGCCAAGCGATCGACCACCAGCAACACAGCCACCGCGCGCGAAGCGTGACTTTCTGCGCCTGCGTCACGTGCATGGCCCTGTGGGCCTGGCGCGTTTCCGCGCAAGCCACGGCCGAGGGTTGCAAAACAGCAGAATCTGGCCGGAACACGGTCGCGAAGCAGAATCCAGCCGGATTAGCAGAATCTGGCCGGATGGAATTCTGCAGCCGGATGACCCGCCCTGGTGGGAGGGCACATTGGGGATCGGGAGTGGTGCAGGTTGGTTGATGTTCATTGGGGCTAATCGATTTGGAATTTTTGACCCATGGCCATACGCCCCAAGCTCGTTCTCTGACCCAAGCAGGAAGGGGGCCATGTTAGAACCCCAGGCAACTTGGCCGTGGCCCTGGCCGAACCTCCCGTGATCAAACACCTCGTCTTTCGGGGAACCCGAGGGTTTGGTGGAAGGGGAAACCAAAAGCAAACCAGCCAATCTTGGGGATCCTCTGAAAAAGACGCACCTGCGTCGCAATCAAAATCTGGTACAAAAATGGTCGACCCAGAACCATGTAAAGAATGAAGAAGGCGGATATCCGCAGCTCTTTATGGCTGGGATCATCCCCTAACCTTCATCTACCCGAATCGGTTTTGATTGTGGCTCACCTTTTGTTTCAACCTCCAAAAGGACACTGAAGGCGACCCTGTGGTGCCAAAGCTGGTTGGAAGAAATCTGGCCCTAAGCCTCGAGGGCTTCAGGTCCTAAACCCAACAAGTCTTTGGTTCTAGCGCCCCCTCCCCAAGAACTTTGACTGGAACTGTTCTGATGACCCTCAAACTCGCCATAAACAGGGAACTCGCCAACCATAAGTTTGAGCAAAAACACAGTTTGTGAGGGCATTCCGAGTGCCATTTTCGCAACAACTTAAAGGTTGAACATCCAACCAAACCACATAGCGCGAAGGGGGAGGCCGAAATGAGATCACCGCGCTTTCTCATGAAACCAAAAAACCGTACCCCTCGAAAACAAACTAATGCTCCCGAATATATACAGTTGCTCAATTGTTTCCCTCTTTAAACATCAGGAAGTTTGTGAGGCAACCCCCACAATTGGCGGTTTGGGGTTTTGCACTTGAAGTATTGGGTCTGCGTGGGGAACCACCCCCTAACCTCCATACCACCCATTGAAAACACCAATTAGAGGAAAGCGGAGTTTGAGCCAGCACCCAGCTACCTATCAAGTAGGTTGAACATGCAAGCAGGTCATGTTCGTACCCGTATGGCTATGAATTTGAATGGGAAACCCCTCAAAAGCCGTTGGCGGATCACTTATGGTCACCAAAGTCCCAATGGATGTTTGCCTGCGCATATGGGGAGTTCTTTTTGGGAAATCGAAAGGACCACTACCCCGCCCAGATTCCCTTTTAAGATGGACCAAACAAAAGGAGGGGGAGGGGTTACCCAGAAAAAGGAATCTGGGTTTGGACCCAGCCTCTCCAATTTCAGTCCCAGTCCTGAGAGCGAAGAAGCCAAAGACTCGTCAAGTGGGTGGCTCGTCTTTTGGCGCCCGTCGATTTCGGTGGGTTTCAATGGGAAAGGAAAATTGTTTTCTCGCCATGCATGTGTTCTTTCTGTCTTTTTTTTGGGGGGTGGCGGGGTCCAATTCCGAAAAGGAACCACACCCAAGGAAAAGGAACCACACCCAAGTATCATTGCCGTGCCATTGTCCCGAACACGTACCTTATCAGGCAACCACTCTTACAAGGGCCATAGCCAAAAAAAACGGACCCTCCAAGGATCGATGCCATTTTTCTGCCTTCGCACTGGTTCTTTGGGTCAAAGGCAGCAAAATGGAATCGGTCCACTGGGGGTCAAGGAAGAGAGGGTCCCTCGGATCAAAACGGTCCGAATGGGTCCATACAGTCGATGGTTGCGAAATCCGCTTCGCACCACTTTGAAGCCATGGTTGAAACCATTGTTTGTTGGTATGTACAGGGGAATCATCATTCTAGGGTTTCTTGGGTGGCGCGAAATGGATTTCGTCCATCCACAGTATGGCCTCAGCAGGGACCAATTTCTCCAGGTGGTTTCCGTTTTGGTTTCCAGTTGACTTGGTTGCTGCAACGACCCCTCTGCAACAAGCTTCACTTTTTGCGCGGGTCAACGGAAAATCCCACCTGCTTCCACCAAACATTTAAAGTCTACAGATCCAACCCAACAGCAATCAAGTTAACACCTATGCAAGGGGGGTCCCCCATTCCAAGAACGCCCCAGACGTTTCCACAGTTTGTCACCCAAAGATACAACATGTTTGTGGAGGAGACCCAATTTTCCCCAGAAGCCCATTGGCCATAGTAGTTGATTTCGAAGGGAAACGGGGCAGTTGCTAGCTTCCTTTGCCGGCAACTCGGAAAATTCCGTGAGTTGATTGGTGGGTTAGGCATTTGAACATGTTCTTGAGGGTATATGGCAAACCACCCCCAACCACTTTTGTTCCAAGTAACTAACTGAGTGGGAAGCTCATATGTGTCAAAACGGGGGCACCATCTTTCTTTGAGTGGCGAGTTGCCCGGGTTATTCCTCCAAACCACCCTAGCCAAACCACCCTTTTCGAGGGAAGCTGAAGGTACCTCTTCTACAGATTGACACCTAAAAACAAATAATCAAGCGGGCCTGTTTCAAAATGGAAATCCGGCACACTCGTGGTGGATGCAAATCCGCCGACCCCTTCTCCTCAAAGGGGGAGGCACACGGGAAGGGTGGCTGCAGTACAAGCGCATGGATTAATCTTTGAGGCAAGCATATGACTACTGGCATCATACGGATGCCCATCATCATCATCATCGATATGATCCTTCATCATTATTATCGTCAACATCATCATCATCATTTCTATATCCTTCAACATCATCATCCTCGTCATCATCCTTATTTTTTGATATACGTTTCAATTGTGGCGTCAGAGAGGGTTCGACATGCAAAAGCTGCATGGACATGATGATCATGATGACTGCCCCCCCCGGCCCCTGAAGATTGTGGCTTAACGCCCCGCTCTGGCCCATTGTAGCTGCCACACAGGGGACTCATTTAGGCTTGGGCGCAGGGGGCGCTATCTCAAAAAATGAGCCCCTTACTTTTCGGCACAAGGAGTGCTAGGGATACTGGGCCCGTGGGGTAAGTCTCGGGCCGCCCTGGTGATGCCGAGGATGCTACGTTAGACACCATTGGCAATGCAGAGGATGCTACAACGATAGTTATGATCACAGTCCTCATCCTTCTCATCACTAGCATCAGGTCATCATCATCTCTTATTAGCCGGCGCTGGTGATGCCGAGGATGCTACGATGATAGTTATCATCACAGTCCTCATCCTTGTCATCATTATCATCATGGTCATCATCATCTCTTATTAGCTGGCACTGGTGATGCCGAGGATCATCGTCTCTTAGTAGCCGGCACTGGTGATGCCGAGGATGCTACGATGATAGTTATCATCACAGTCCTCAGTATCATCACGGTCATCACCATCTCTTATTAGGCAGCACTGGTGATGCAAAGGGTGTTACGATGATAGTTATCATCATAATCATCATCAAGATCATCCTTATTATGATGTCATCGCTCTTCTCATCATCATCATGATGATCATCATGATCTCATTCTTGTTCTTATTCTTATATGCATGTCAAAAGTAACGTTAGACCCCATTGGCAATTCACGCCTGCTTCCCTCCACTTCCCCTTCGCAGCCCCTTGTTTCGCATCGCCAGCATGCATAACATCATCCGCATCATCCTGGATGATGCTGGCAATGCTGGGGGCGTTGTCCAGTTGTAGGCACCCCCTAAAAGACTTGTGAGATGCTTCAAAAATCGCTTAAGCGAATCCGCAAATCCTTCGCCCCTTATAAGGGCGGGCCCAGCATAAAACGTATGCGCATGGTTCGGAGCATGTTCTGCGCCTGGTCGGCGGCATGGGGCGCACAGCCTTATACCTGAAGGTAAGCCCTGCGGGCTTGGCCTGCGGCCCGATCACGTCCGGTGGCCGGATTTACACGCTGACGCGACACAGCCGGCCACCGGGCACCCCTTCCTGTCCTTTCCCTCTAAGTCCTGTTAGTTCTCGGGATGATTTGAACTTTACTTCCTTTGCATGTCTTCCCTGACAGTTTCCTGGCATGTCCCTTCGCTTCCTTCCACTTCACTGCCGTTTCAGCTCCCTTCATTTGCTTGAAGACTCCTTTATTCGCATTCCGTTCCCGCTGTCCGGTTCTTCACGTTCTGCCCTTGCATTTTCCTGCATCTCGGTTTCTCTCCAGTGCCCTCTTGATTTGCGTGCAATTCCTTTGACTTTCATTTCGTTCACTTCCAGTCACTCCTGTTTTCTTGCATTTCCCCTTCAGCCCCTTGTGTCGCATCGTCAGCATGCATAGCATCATCCGCATCATCCGGGATGATGCTGGCAATGCTGGGGGTGTAGTCCGGTATTACGCACGCTGCGGGGAGATGCTACAAAAATGCTCGGAAATCGCCTAAGCCAATCCGCGAATCCTTCGCCCCTTATAAGGGTGGGCCCAGTACAAAACGCATGCGCATGGTCGGAGCATGGTCGGAGCATGTTCTGCGCATGGTCGGCGGGCATGGGGCGGACGGCCTTATACCTGAAGGTAAGCCCTGCCGGCTTTGGCCTGCGGCCCGATCACGTCCATTTACACGCTGACGCGACACAGCCGGCCACCGGGCTCTTCCCGTTCTTTCATTTCCTTTCCCTCTAAGTCCTGTTAGTTCTCGGGATGATTTGAACTTTACTTCCTTTGCATGTCTTCCCTGACAGTTTCCTGGTCACTGCCGTTTCAGCTCCCTTCATTTGCTTGAAGACTCCTCTATTCGCATTCCTAGTCCAGTATTACGCACCCCCTAAAAATACTCGTTTTTGGACGCTGCGGGGAGATGCTACAAAATTCCTCAGCCCTACCGGGCTTTGGCCTGCGGCCCGATCACGTCCGGTGGCCGGATTTAAGCGCTTCGCGACACAGCCGGCCACCGGGAAAATGCACGTGGGGCGCTGGCCCTGTACCTGAAGGTAGGCCCTGCGGGGGCTGAAGGCCCCGGTGGCCGGACTTGCGTTGCTGACAGACCACCGGCCGCGCCCACGTGTAAAAACGCAAACGTGTGCACTCAGAAGCCTCACTGCTAAGGGGGTTTCCGACATGTTCATACATTTTTCAGGGCAAAACGGATGTGACCACCACAAAGGGAAAACACCCAAAGACCCATTTGTCACGTTTTCGGCAAGATTGGCCCAACCTAGGGGACAACATCCCCCGCATCACCAGCATCATCTGCATCAGTGCCCGCCATGGATGCGGATGATGCAGGCAATGCCGGGGATGTTGTCCACCATGGGCACCCCCCAAAAAACGCTCGTTTTTGACTCCGCGGGGAGTCGGTCCAAAAACGACCCCTTTTCGCCCAAAACACACCCGAACATCCTTTCCTCCTGGCAGCGAGGTCACAGCGCAAAAGTATAGCGCATGGTCGGCGCATGGTCGGCGGTGGTCGGCGGCACAGGGCGGCCGGCCCTGTACCTGAAGGTAGGCCCTGCGGGCCTAGGCCTTCGGCCGTATCACGGACCACGGGGTCTAAAGCCCCCCGGTGGCCGGATCGCTCCAGATTCGGACTCGCCGCGGGGCTTGCAGCACTATCTCTTGAAACCAAAAAACAGAGCAAGGCAACGCGAGTCCATGCAATTAAGTGCTTACGGATAGGTCCCTGCGCAAGGTGTCTGGGGACCTATCGATTCGAGCAGTGTGAAACTCTTGGCCAGTAGCCACTTGGTTCGGACTACAGATTCGTGATTAACCTCACATGGGCCCGTAGAATCCCAGACTCTCGTTTCTACGCGTGGAAATCGCAGCGCTTTTTTTGGTGTTTCCACGCGTAGAAACGAGACTATCTGGGATTCTACGGTCCCATGTAAGGTTTATCACGAATATGTAGTCCGAACCAAGTGGCTACTGGCCAAGAGTTTCACACTGCTCGAATTGATAGGTCCCCAGACACCTTGCGCAGGGACCTATCCGTAAGCATTTAATTGCATGGACTCGCGTTGCCTTGCTCTGTTTTTTGGTTTCAAGAGATAGTGCTGCAAGCCCCGCCCGCACACGTGCACACTGTATGTTAAGATCTTAAGATGTCAAGACTTCAAAATTTCAAGATTAAGAGTTAAATATAGCCCGGATTGAAGGAATTTTATTGTATATTTTTTCTTGTTTATGAATTTAAGATTTTCAGATTGCAATAGTTCGAGATTTAAAGAATTTAAGTTTTTGAAGCTTTTTAAGATTCTGAGATTTTAAGATTGTAAGACTTTAGGAATTTCACATTTTAAGAGTTTAAGATCTCAAGATTCTAAGACATAATGTTTTTAAGATTTCAAGATTCGAAGACTTTAGGAGTATTTTCAGATTTTAAGATTCTAAGTTCTAAGATTTTAAGATCTTGAGATTCTAAGAT